GAAGATAAACTCTTCAAAACTCTAGAAGTGGTGAGAAAGCTATGTGTAGAACCATTGGATCAGTTTCGCTTCTCCGTGAGACATGCACGTAATTTCGAATACATGATAGACTTGAATGATTAGACGTGCACGTATAGATACGTTCAATTGGAGACTTTTCTATGTAGACATGTAGTGGCAGTGGCCATGCATAGAGAATTTTCATCGCACACCTTATGCAATGTTAATTACATGACTGATTATTGGAGAGCAGCATATGTCGAAACAATATTTCCTGTATCAAACGAAGCCAAGTGGGAAGTTTTCGACCACATTCTCCATCTGAATAATTTGTTGCCACCAAAAGTCGGACAACGTACTTCTGGACGTAGACATACGTCTAGAATACCATCTAATGGAGAATTTTTCCAACCTTGTAAGTATGGTGGATGCAGCGCAACAGTGATACTAGAAGATTTTGTACAAATCAGATTCCTCTACATAACAATGCAACGGATTTGTAATAAAATTTAATTTTTATTTAACACTTTCACATTCTGTCAGTTGTTTAATATTTACTATTTTGTACAGGTTGTTGCATTTAACGTTTTATGTTACATTTTAATTGATGGTTTGAAATTCTAGACATTCAACTAATAATTAAATATTATTTAATTGTTTATTTAATATTTGATTTCATTTTTTATTTAATAATTGGATTAATTATTTCAATTGGGTGTGTATATTATATATTTAATTTATAATTATTTATTTCATTAATTAATTTAAATATTTATTATTTACTTAAATGAACAGTATACAGAAACTTTTATTTCGTAATTACAAAAGAAATTAAATGTACAATGTTGACATTAAATTTATTAATTAAAACATTAATTTTATTAACTTAAAACTTTTACAGTTTCACTTTTAGAAAAAAATATCAATTTAGCAATACAAATTACAATCAATCTATTGAAATAATCATAGAAAGTAAATTAAGTTTATTGGTATTGGCCTATGGTTTACACACAAAATTTGTTTACAGGATCGTAATCAAATAGAGACATGAAATTGATGGGAGTTCACAGGCTGAGCCGAGTACACGGTCTTCTAATTTGCAGACGTAATCATAATTACTTTATTTAATTATTTATTTTAAAGACTTACTGAGATAAAAAAAAATTAATATTTAATTTAATTTCTTTTTTAAATATTTCATTAATTAATTATCTTAATTGGCTATATATATTGTTTATTTAATATTTCATTACTTTATTTAATTATTTATTTATTTAATCACTTATTCGAATAGAAAACTAATATTTAATTTAATTTATTCTTTAAATATTTCATTAATTAATTATGTATAATATTTATTTAATATTTAATTAGAACATAAAGTACACGGTACATGAGAATATCTAACAGAGATGGGAGTCGAATATTGGGTACGGTCACATTTTCAAGATATCGAACATTATTCAAAAATGGCGAAACTATATTTCCTCTACCAAATGAAGTCGAGTGGGAAGTTCTCGATTATAGTATATTGCTCTCTATCCAACGAATGTGTAATATCTATTTAAATCGTATATACTCTCTATTTATAGTATGTTACTGATTTCCTCAATTTTTCCTATTTATAATGTGTTATTGATTGCATGAAAATTGATTTGACGGATATGTAATATCTACTATTTTCTTTATTTCTAGTGTATTATATATGTAATTAAGAATAATTAGTCATTTATTAAACAATTACATAAAAACTAAAGTATTACAAACATTTTTAAAAAAATGCTTACATTTTAAATTATTACGACTAAGGATCACAATGTACATAAAAGAACGCTTACATTTCAAAAAAAAAATGCTTACATTTTAATGTGTGTTTGGTTTATCTGTCCTACACCACGTCCGATGCTAAAAATTCAAAGTACTTCAATGCGAATACTCCACATCGCCCAGGGTCGATTTCACGGAAGAGATTGGGTAACGTACCATCGACAGATGTTCTCTTCTTTGCTTCGATCGTGTACGAAAAAAATGTATTGTGACGGCAATCTAGTCTTCTTGCTAATCATCTGCTCTAGCACATCAATAACATGTTCCTTACAGGGTGTCACTTTCATTGCCCTCTCCGGCATAATTATCACCTCATCCAAACTTACGACATTATCTACCAAGTTGGGAGTCCTATCCAGGATAGTTATTTATATTATTTATTTAATATTTAATTACTTTATTTATTATTTAATTACTCTATTTAATTATTTATTTCATATTTATTTACTTCATTTAATTATTTATATTAATTTCTTATTTATTTTAATTGTTTATTGAATATTTAGCCCTTGTTTCAGCCACATTATTGGAATGAAAATGTATTTTTGAATAGTGTATTGATGAGAAATGTATGGTTAAGAAATTAGGAAAAGTTTTGAATTTGCGTGTAATATTATTTTATTGAAGAATGTGTGGTTGAGATGATGTCAAATCACTATTGAAGAATATATTATTTTTGAAAAAATGTGGTTCAAAGTTCAAACAAGGCCTCAATTGTTTATTATATTTATTTAAATTGCTTATTTCATTATTTAAATTATTTGTATTTTAAATACAATGAAATAAAAAACAATTAATTATTTTACTTAAATAAACAATTTACATAATTCATGAAATATTTAAAAACAATTAAATTCAATATTTAAAAAATTTTAAAAAACCCCTGGGCCCATAGGCCCAGAGTCTGGGCACGCTGGGCCAGTCTAGACAGTGACGTCGTTGCCGCCTGCTTTATCGCAGGCGGCTGAAAAAATGGTGGAGATCACCATTTTGGACGATCTCCGCCACCAAGACAAGTCACAATTCACTTTTTATGCATACGAGGATCATATACCATCATTTTATGCATGCATTTTTGAACAAATTCGAGAATAAGCATGGTTTATTTGAAAAATAAATTGTCCACAATGGTTTCAAAAAACTTTTCAGAAATTCTCCAATTTCTTGGCTTTTGATCGGCGTCTAGGCATCGGTTTCTTTCCTTTTTTTTCGGCATCTGGATTCCAATCAAATGAACAGTGTATTTTCTATCTTTTTCTTTTTTAACTTTGAAGGGTATAAATGAGACTTCATTGATTTTTAAAGTTTTAAACATTTTTGCTTTTTTTTTTAATTAAAAAATGGTCAAAGGCCATATTGGGAAGATGGCCGGTCCACTAATTTCTCCTCGGAGAAACCCTAGAGTGTTCAATTGGGGAAAACGAAAAGTAAATAATTCTATTTTGGACCCTAGCCTTAAGAAAGGTCCAAATATTCTATTATTGTTTTTTGAAGACAAGCCGAATACCTAGCCTTGGCAAAGAACCTGGTTTCATCTCTCTATTTAAAAGGGTCGGATATCGGATTCTTTTGTAATGGGTTGAAATTGAATCGGCATTCCCACTTCTATACCCTAGTAAAACCCTTCGGTAGAGCAAACTATCACCTCCATTCGGTAAGAGCCACGACTACCAACTCAGAAAACCTTCCACCTCTGTCGGGATGCGATTGAAACATATTAAACAATTCATTTTCTAGCAAAATCTTTGAACTTTTTATCTATATATAAGCTCGAAAGACCTGAAAAAGGAAAAAAAAATGGCTTTCCTAGGGGAAAACTTGAAGTCGACCTCCTTAAATGGAGTGAAATTGTATACAGTGTCTGACGATCAACGCTTTGCCACCTAACTCCCTCCCAGGAAGCAAAGAGCTCTCCGTAAAAATCAAGGTACAATGGATTGCCTTTTCTTTTGTGAACTATTCTTTCTTGATAAAATGCAGACTTTTCGTATCAAAATTGAAATAGTATCGATCACGGTAGAGGTGGCTTGCTGCTTATTGTCTTCTTTTAATTAGTTTTGGGATAAAAGGTTGGTTTTTGACTTTATTTCATTTTAATTTAGCCCGTCAACTATTCTACCATATTATTTTTTCCACGGTACTCGTTTTCAACCCTACATTCTTAATTAAAATAATATTACACATCAATCAAAAACTTTTCCTCCTTTTTTAACCACACATTTCAACATCAGTCACTATTTCATAATACACTTTTTGAAATTAAAGGGCCACAAACAGGCCCTTACTGGATACTGAGATGCTTTTGAAAGTTTTAAAGAGATTAATATTGATGTTAACTATGATGCTGGTAAGTTTTTGTAAATGATCAGTTTCATTTTGGGTCTACTTCTAGATTATCGGCAAAGAGTGGATTTGATACAGGGTTTGAGGTTTGAAATTGTGACTATTATAATTAAGGTGACCCCTGATGGCGAGTAGCTAATAGATTTAGGTGAATTCTAAATTTTATTTCCTAACATTTTGTTTGTTACTTCTATCTTGTATTTTTATGTATGCACCTATATGAAATAAGGTTTCTTTTTTAAATTTAGGGTTTGTTTGAGTCACATTATTTAAAAAAAAAATACATTTTTCAACAGTGATTTAATATCATTTCAACCATACATTCTTCAATAAAATAATATTACACACAAATTTAAAAATTTTCTTTATTTTTTAACCACACATTTCCTATTGATTTGACGTGAATAATGCATTTTTTCCTAGAATGTGGTTCAAACATGGGCTTAGGTATTTCCCCAGCACAAATCGAGGTGTATGAGTTGAAGAAACTATCATTGTAGTTTGAAAGATATTTCGTATCCGAAATCATTAATTTCAGGTACTATTTTTTAAGTTATCTAGAATTGGAATTCGATTGAATGAATATGTTTGCTATTCTTACCTCTAAAGTCTTTTCTGCAATTGCTATTTTGATACTAATGACTGCCCTCCCTATAGTCATTGTTCTGATTTGAAAGGGTAAAAGCTAAAGGAAATCAATAAAACTATTTGTAGAAAGTTGGATTGAAGAATGGGAGCCCCTCCCCACTATCGTGAATCAGTTCAAAGCCCCCAGAATTAAATCAATTTATGCATGCTTTGTAACATATTTACATCGGAAAGAATCAAACTGTAAAATCAAAGAGTTTTCTGCATGACCAACAAGAAGAATAAAAGTTTAGAGCACCAGAGAAACAAAAAGATATAAAAATAAATAATTGTTCATATCAACACAAAATAATAGTATTACTTCAAGGTTATTAGATGCTACAATTTTCTAAGAGCCACCTATCTCTTGAGTTTCCATCAAGACTCCATCATCGATAAATTGATTAGGGTTCTCAACTGTTGCATTTTCCTTGCGTTTCTGCAAGCACGTAACATTAATGTAAGATTTTGTGCCTTTTTTCTGGAAAAATGTTTTATGCACAATTTAAAGCCGAACTACTATCATGTGCAGATCGAAAAGTTCAAATTCCATCTAACTATACACGACGTTCGAACCGTACCTGCATATCATATAATAATTTCCTCAATTCTCTTGCTTCCCTCGTCATGACTTCAATATCGGCATTTACCTCTTCCAGTTCCTGATTTACCTCCTCCAGCTCCAGATTTACCTCTTTCAGCTCCAGATTTACCTCTTCCAGTTCCACATTTACTTCTTTAATTTCCTGTATCACACAACAAAGTATAATGACTCTCTTAAAATGTCTTAAGTTTACAGAATTCAGTCCATTTTACCACTTCAAATTATCACTCATCTCCATAGTCCCAGCACCAAATTAAACTGTATCAATAGCATCCTAGAAATCAAGATATCAAATTGAGCCTCCGGAGGATAATATTGGTGGTGGAGGTCGATAACAATCCTATTATGATAGCTCAAATGAAGGAAATTGCACCTACTCCGCCAACACAACACACCAATTGCACCATGAGACAAACTTCAGAATGATATTATCATTGCAAACCATCATCCAAATTCTGCTACAACAAAACTATAGATGTTGCAATCGAGTTTACATAACTCAAGCTATAGGGTCAAGATTGCAAATTTTCGAGATTAAACGAATTAGGTGCAACTGGAGAATATTTTACACACCTAGATTAAAAGATTGGTGATGAAAGTTTCTAGGTTTGCAAGTTTTCTTTTACTTTCAGGTCCGTAATAGAACGATTAAGATGAGAGGAAAATGTAACAATGGAAGTGTTAGCCTTGACAAGTTAATAATTTTGTACATTATGGAAGCATCACATGATCATGAGTTGAGTTAATCGAAAATAAATAGTATCCGTTTCAAGACTAATACCAGAATGGGACTTAAGTAGAATTGGTGATGATTAAAGTAAATAAAAGTCTAAACAAATCAAACCTTTTTCAGCAAAATAGATTCCAGATCATCTTCTGGGTACTTATGTGCCCGTCTCCTACAACAAGTGAGGTCCAATTAAATGCCAATAATTTTTTCTTTTAGGAAATAGATAAGGAAATATCAATTAGAGAATTTGTTATCTCACTTTAGCTTGTAGAATACACCAAATTTTTTTGTTTTGATCCTCTTTAAATAAAACTCATCTGGATCCCTCAATGCCGCCTTTAGCTTAAGTTTCTGCAGGCACACAGTGACTTCCAACAAATAGAAACTAAAAAGAGATTTTGAAGACTGAATTCGAATATAAAATTCAAAAGATACCCGTAAAGCCTGCTTCTTTTGGTGATAAGCTCGTGCACGCTCGATATAATCCTTGTGAATATGTTTCCTTAGAGACGACATTGCTATAATCTGTGACAAAGTTTCACATTAAAAATCAAGCATAAATAAAGGATCTTGTCAAGGAGTTGTTGCAAACTGTAAAAGAAAAATTCTAGAATTCCACAGAATTCCCCTCGCAATTAGCAAAACAAAGTTACATGCTCAATAGAATAAATAAAAAATAGATATTGATGGTTGTTTCGTTAAAACCAAAACGTTCGGTCCCAGGGCAGAAAGGAAGGAAAAAAATTACACAAAATTCAGACGGATGTTAGGTTGGTTATGAGGGGTACCAAGGCTGTTACCAAATTCACCAATTTAGGGTTTTTGTATTATGATTCAAATATGTGAAACAGAAGGCTATTAACTAATCTATGAATTTTAATGGCTCTCTCCAGAAGAAAAGGAAAGAATATATATATATATCTTTACCTTATTTCAGTTGAAGAATGGAGAAGCAGAAGACTGGGTTGTGATGAGGAGCAATTGGACCTGCGGCTGCGTTTCTTGAGAGTTTTGGCGTCTTATATAAGATTGTCGGTAGTTGGTTCCAGGTAGTGGTAGGCAGGGTTGGGCTGGAGTAGGGTCGGGTAGGTTTTTTTTCAACCCAATATGATCGATTTGATCGAAAATCAACTCAATCTAATTCAATTATTGATTTAAATTCATTGGGTTAGTAGGTTTGGGTTTCAGTCCACTTAAAGTTAGATCTAATTTATTTGTTAAATTTGGATAATTTTTAAAAATTGAAAATTACTTGAAAACATCTGTTTTTTAAACAAATATATACAAAGAATTCTTTCTAAAAATAATGTATAAATAAATTTAAAATTTATGAAGAATTTTCTTTTTTACAATTTTTTGAAATTCATTCATTTCATAATCATGTCCTTAATTTTTATTTTATCGTCAAATAACATTACATTTGTACATAATGTTCATGTGAATCGATCTATGAAGAAAATTGACGTTTATAAATTATATGTCATACTCTTATTTTTATTATTTTGTCTATTTAAATTATTTTTTCATCTTAGATATTAATGTTTAAATCATCATTCATAACCCGAGACCCAAAACTAATCTAACCAAACCCAATTGAACTTAAAAAATTGACCCAAACCGATCGATTTGATTTTGGTTAGTCAATTTGAGTGGCTTGGGTTGGATTATACCAAGCCCTAGTGGTAGGAATCTAAATCGCATATCTTGTTCAATGCAACTTCTATGTTAAAAGAATTCCACCCTTACTCACTTGCATAAATATTAAACTTTGAAAAATGTCGAGTTTATAGTGAATAACATACAATATTTTTCAAAATCCAATAATCAAAACTCGATATTTTAAACTTTAATGAGCAATCGAAGTCATGGACCCAAGTTTAATGACGAAAACTCGATATTTTAAATTTCAGTAGCCAATCAAAGATATGGACCTAAGTTCAGTAAGCATTAAAACAATTAACTTGTTTCTGAAATGAGAGTACGTTTGATTGCAAAGATGAAATTTGGGTGAAAAAAATGAATTTTAGGAAAATAAATTGCCTAGAAATTGCTTTACTAAGAACTGTTAATTATTGTGTTTAATTAATATAATTTTTCACGTGAAAAATGTTGAAATAAAAGTGTTTTTTTATTCGTTTGGTTTTGTTTTACATAAAAATTATCGATTAAAGAGATAAAATTTATTGGTATCGGGGATAAAATTTATTTTCATTGCCAAAAAAACCCAACAAAATTATCCATCTTTGGTGTTCGTTTGATTTTGTTTTACATGAAAATTATCAATTAAAGAAAAAAATTTACAACTAGAGATAGAATTTTGTTTCCATTGCCAAAAAAAATATAATAAAATCAGCAGATAGCCTAGAAACCTTGAAAACCAAGAGAATGTCTATGTGGCAAGAAAACCAAGAAAACAAATTTCATAGAAAAAAAATTTGCCATCAAAAGTGGAAAAGTGGAATTCATTTTCCATTTTTCACGAAAATCATGGCCTATCAAACATGGCCTAATAATAAAATTAATGAATATTAAGTGACAAAAAGTAGTGATATATACATCCAATAAAATATTTCAATAGTAATTTTAATACATTTATCTCAATATCTCGAATATTTCATGGACAGAAAAAGTACAAATCATAACCAATTGAATTTCATCAAAATAAGTTTTGTAATTGCGAATTTTTGAATTTACGTGCAAAATATTTTATTCTAAAAATATGTGATTAAAAATCAGTTTGAGGAAATTATAAGAACTGAAACAATTAACGTAATAATATTTTACATTCATATCAACATCCCTAATTTTTCACAAACTCGAAAACATAAAAAAACTAATTTTAATCACAAGCAATTCAATTTTGTAATTTAATCTGCATTTTGTAGAATAAAGTACCTTAAATAACCTGAGATGCCGCTGGGTTGTAATGTGTGTTTCTCTATGTCAAAATCGATGATGGAAACTATTTCATGAATATCGGTTTGAATACCAACCAATAAAAAAAAAAAAATGAAGAAGAAGAAGAAGAAGAAGGTAACTAATTTCTTACGAACTTTGGGCAATAAAAAGTTGGCTGGAAATTATGATGGAGCTGCTACAAGATTTTATTCAGGCTACGGCTGGAAAGTCATGTTTGGCGGTGCTATGGGGCTCCATTGTTTATGGAGGAGCTGCTGGAAATGGTGTAGGTAAAGGGTGGAAAAGTCGGCACTAGTGGAGGAAATGGCAAAAGGGCACAATTGAGACAATTGCAACGTTGCATGTGCCAATTAACGAACGATGCACAAATCTGAATAGCACATAAGTATTTGATTTTTAATTTTCGCTAAAAACTTAGAATATTCACATGCAAACTTTTTTGAAGTCGTGTTAGCATAGCCACTAAATGCTAATTTCTCCAAGTGATGGTGATAGAATTCAAGTATTCCATATGGGCAAACATGCTCGGATCCGGTTTTTAGTTGGATTCGCATACTAATAGTCAATATAGACAACTAACAGAAAATCCATGATTTTGAACTGTTTCATAGAAATTTTAACGACATCATATGAAATATAGTAAATCTAAAGTCTCCCTCCTACTTTTCACATTTATCCTTTGCTGTCTCCAATAGAAAACGAACCAGCTTGTGGTATTAAGAACAATCCTCACCCAGTTGGGCATTTTCCCCTACTTCTATCAAGGAAAAAGTATGCAAATCAGTAAAATGATACGTTTGATAATCAAATAAAAATGCATTAAGCTAAACATTACCAGCATTTTCTTCCGGAAAAGCCAATTTCCTATATTCCAACTCCAGTTCTTTCACTTTGGCCTCGCTCTCCTTCAGATTTTGTTCAGTTCTCTTTCTCTTCCTTCATATTAACCAAAAATGGTTAAACATTCGATAGACAAAATAAGTTGATGGCTATAATCATGCGCTAAGTTTGATTATTTTGCATTAAATGTGGCAACACATCTGTAAACAGAAACTTGGGATGGAAACAAGATGGTCCAATTATTTTTCTTAATGCAATCCATCTTTTACGAGACATGAATTATGTTCGAGGATGACAACCTATACATAAGAATACTTTAGATTGAATAGATTCTATTCAACAACGATATTTTCTCAATTATTTCGGACATTGTCATCACAATGCAGGATAAACATGATTTCCTTCTAGCAGTTCCAAAAGATAAAATGCAGCACAAAGATCAATCATTTACCGGTCATTAACGGGTAAATGGGAACGCAGAAGCATTGATACTTTTAGTTCTTCAACTTTCTGCAGAAACCAAAAGAAATGCTTAAAAAACTAAAAACAGGAATGTGTTAAACCTTCTTTGCATTGTGACGATCGTTCAGCACAAATCCAATAAATCTTCCTCCTCTTGACAGATAGTTCACCTTCCTTCAATTGTACACAACGCGATGAATTATATGTCACATGCAAATGAAATATTAACAAATCAATTTATTTATGTAAATTTGTTATCTCACTTCCTTTTCCGAGCCATCGGGTCCCGAAGAGCTTTCTTTCCCTTGTGTTTTTGTACGGACATAAAGATAATTAATATATTAACTTAAAAATAATGGTTTAAAATAAAATTAGAAAGGTTATAATCAAATGTGGATTCAACCTTTGATTCCTTTAGCTTTGACAGTTTTCTCAGCTTGACAGTTAGTTTTTCCTCCTTTGCCATTAATTTCTTCTCCTTGGAAACTAGTTTCTTCTCCTTGGAAGCTAGTTTCTCCTTCTTGGAAACTACTTTCTCCTTTTTGGCACGCGTCTTTTCAATTTTCTGCACAAGACGAAAAGATTTAAAGTAGAATGAATCCCATAAGACATTGTCTTCAGTTTTTAGGAAACATTCCATTTTACCATTTTAACTAATCATTCATTCCCACAATGTCCCTTAACAACTATATAGCCCTTGTTTGAGTCCCTTTTTTCCCCTAAAAATTCAATTTTTCAAAACTCATTTTCAACCACACATTCTCTTTCTCCAATAGAATAATATTACACACAAATCAAAAACTCGTTCCTTAATTTTTAGCCACACATTCTCCATCAATCTACCATTTCAAAATACGTTCTCTCTAAAATGGGGCTCAAATAAGGACATAAATAGCAACTTTCAACATTAAAACAAGCAAAAAATATGATATCTAAAAGAAATAATATTCATCCTAGAACGTATATGAACCAATCACTGAGCTTCAAATTTAATTCAAATGGTCGAATATGTGGTAAAAATTGAAAATCTGGAAAATTTATCAGCCGAAGTGTTTCTAGGCAAGGAGTAAGCTTTGGGCATGGGGTGAGCTGTGAGCATATAAGAAGTGACATGCTCTTTGTCAACGAGGCTCATACAATGTACACTATATAGATGTCAACAGAATTTAACTTTTTTTTCCTATCCCTTTTCTTTAAAATTTAACCTAACCCTTCATTTTGATTTTCAAGATTAAAATTTATTGTCTAGCACCAGTATTGTTAAATATCAATCTAGATATCAAAATATTATAGATTATATTAAATATGTCATTAATCTTTGTATTCAATTGAACCAATAAACTTCTACACTGTTAAATATCATAATTCTTTAGGATTCGAACTTAAACTCTTCAAACTGTTTCCAAAATCCTTAAAAAACGACATGACGAGTGGATGGGACAATTGAGGCATAGAGCAGTTGGCATTGGTTGACCAATGGTTGTTTGAAGACAGCATCAAAAATGTTATATTGCAACGATATCTCAATCAATGTCGAATAAATTTTAGATTAATCATTATTCTTTTACTACTCAATTAAAGAGATTGAACGAAGAATAACTGCTTCTGTTCCTATCCTACGTCGCCAAGACACCAACCCTCCCTAAGCCAGACACGGCAAGCTAACAGCTCACGTTCTTCATTATTTAACGAGTCTCCTTGTACAAAGATTATACACAGCACTAAATCATAGAACCCCCTTTACAAGATGCTAGTAATTTACCTTTAATTTAGTTCAAATCACGATCGTGGTCTAATGGACAATTGATTACTATATCTTGGCAGTCGGATTGGGCGTCTTTACACTCTTCTCGCCGATTGAATCGATTAGGGGTTAGGGTTTGGAGGTGAAGTTGGGGGAATTTCATAATCGTCTTTTCTCCTTTTAGGAAAATGGTTTTAGAAGCGTGTTTGCAGATGATGTGGCAATGAGATGGCGAGATTGTTATTATTTGGTGTTATTTCAACTGGCTCATTTTCCCGTCATTAACGTAGGCACGTCTAATGAATTCCATCAGGTTAGTGATGAAGTTGGATGGAGCAAAGTTCAATGGCTAATGGAACGATTGATGAAGTTCGGTGAGCAAGCTATGACACAGTGCAAAGTTCAGTGATCATTAAAACATCTAACTCGATTTGTTAGTATACTTAATATTTAGGCCTCTATTGATTACCCAAAGTTCCCATGTAAAATGGCCAATCAAATTGCCTTTCTTGGCTACTAAATTGAATTGATAATGATGACTATTGTTCCTAGATTGCTTAGCCTATGTTTGGCCATTATTTTTTCAAAAACTCATTTTTCCAAAACCTCATTATTAACCACACATTCTTTCATAAAATAATTTTATACGTAAGTTCAAAAATTTTCCTTAGATTTTAACCATATATTCTTCAAGAATATATTATTCGAAAATGCATTTTGGTCCAAAAAAGGGTCTCAAAGAAAAGCTTCATAATGTGCTCCTTATGCGTCATAAAATTATATAAATTATTTACTTATTTATTTATTTTAATTTTTATTCATTATTCACATCACGCTTGAAGTACAATAATTCAAATATTTTTTATGAAAAATTTAACCGACATGTCTACAACGATATAGCCTCCTCCAAGGTTGTAATTTACTATTTTATTTATTGATAAAATACGTTTATATATATATTGCACTCTGTTTTAAATTCATGAGATTTTTTATATTTTATTTTTTGAACTCTGTTTTAAATTCATGAGATTTCTTATATTTTATTTTTGTGTTTAATTTATATGATTATTTGCATTGTTTTAAGGAATCGGTTTAGAAGAGAGAAGATGTGAATAGTTTGTGAAGAGGATATATATTAACTACAAGTCTAGAATTAGTAGATATTATCTAAAAAATATTATAGAAAGTAATTATGAGAAAAAAAAAATCATATTTCTTGTTGAAAGTTTATTGAATTGAATTGTTGCGCCTGACGATCAGGAAAGCGCCGACTTGGACTGGGGGACCAATTTTGACAATTTTGTCCCTGAAGTTTTATTCCCTTGGACTTTTGGTCCTTTTTGACGTTTTCTCATCCCGTTGTCTTCCGTTCACATCTAATTGAGTCCTAACACTCTCCATGTTCGTTCTTCGGTCTGGGCTAACTTTTTATTAATTTTATTTTAGTTCTTCAACTTTAGGTTTTTGAAATTTAGTCATCTTTTCTTCGATTTTCCTCCAATTTCACCTTTCTCATCGATTGTTACCTAACAAACACAATTCCATTTAAATTAAGCTATTATTTATTAAAATAACAATAAATACTCCAAAATCAATACCTAAATAAGTGAAACATGATACTTCACTCCATACTTAGCTAACAACGCTAAGGATCAGAGGTTGTAAAAATACTTCCTACCATCACTAATAATAGCCCATAGAGTGTTATACCTTGAGAAAATGTCTTTTTTTAAGGAATTGAGTCAAAATATGTCCACATTTGTAGAAACTATAGCTTCTACGTATTTAAACATGTAATCCACTTCCGCCAAGATATAATGTTGACCATATGAAGATGGGAATAGTCCCATGAAGTTAATACCCAAATGTTGAATATTTCTACTTCTAAAATGTTGTTTAAGGACATCTTGTTGTTCCTTGAGATATTTTCGATCCTCTATCACTTGTCACATTCTTTCACCAAAGCATAAGCATTATTGAACAAAGTATGCTAATAAAAACTTGATGATAGAACTTTTGGTGCTACGTTGGTTGCTGCAAAGTGACCTTATATGGAGGAAGAGAGGCAATGCTCCAACAAATGATTTTGCTCTTCTTTGGGCATAGAACGACGAATTATTTTATCTAGGTCCCACCCATAGAGAAATGGATCATCCCAAAAATAGTGATTAAGATCACTAAAAATTTATTTCTCCACATGAATCGAGCACTCCAGTAGAATGATGGAAATGATTAAATAATTTACATAAGCTAGATACTATGGCATTGTCCCAATGTGAAAAAGCATATCATTTGGGAATACTTCGTTAGTCTCATCTGTAAGGACCCATAAAAATGTGCCAATAGAATCACGAGCCTCACTTGTGGCCACTCTCGGTACTTTGAGGAGCTATATAACTATTATACAACTGAAAAGGTTGGCTTACTTGAGACATTCGACAATAACTACTTTGATCTTTCAATCTGATTGGAATTTTGTTCAAAGCGAAATAAATTATGTGGAAATGCTAGCTGGAGCTTCTTTTGCCCGAGTTTACATCATCACCATTTTAATTCACATAGGCACATATAATCTCACACTCCGTATCACTTAATTCTCCGATAGGCTTGGCACCTTTGTGATCCGGATGCTGAGAAAGCTTTCTAGGCTCTTAGAACAGCCAGGGTGAAAGTGGCAGTCTGTCGAATTTTGATACGCGCTTAAGACCACTGTCGTGGGCTTTGAAGTGCAATCTTTGGTTTGATGCTGTGGCTGTGTCAGCTGAAGTAAGTGGTAACGTTTCATTTTCATTTTCATTTTCTTTAATTTTGTTTGCTAATCACATAGTGGATCTAGCGAAATGGTGCAAAAGGGTTCACGTAGATAAACCAAATTTAGCTGGATGAGGCTTAATTTGTTGTTGCTGTTGTAGTAAAATTATTCACTCTCTCATTCTCGATATGCTTGTTTGGCACTATCTACTCTTAAGACAGGTTGAGGCAGAGAAGCCAAATCCTACAATATTTTTGTAAGCTTGTGAGTTATTGGAAATACAACCCGAGGATGCTGTACATGTCGGGGATGATCGTAGAAATGACGTATGTGGTGCCAGAGATGCAGGTTGTGATGCCTGGCTTTGGGGGAGCCGATGTTACCTCCTTTAGAGAGGTATGTCAAGTATTTTTCAAATCTTGGTGATATGTTCAACAGAGAAAACATGAACCTTTGATGTTGCATTCTAGGCCATGTTCTTTAACAAAAAGATGTGTCATCCTTATTTTTGGAAAAAAAAATTTAAAAGAAAAAGAAAACGACAGGCGGCTATGCCCAAACAAACCCATTCCCAATGTATGTATATGTTTATGTGTGTGTATAATCGAAATCCATAATATACACTACACACACCAAGAAAGCTCTCGAGCAGAAAGAGAAAAAGAAAGGAAAAGGAAGAAAAGAGGAAGAGAAGAAAGAAAAAATAGAAGAAAATTTGCGAACGTGTTAGAAATTAAGTGTTTTATACTATTAGGCTTAAATTTCTTAATTTTGAAAGGTAAGTAAAAAGTTACTTATTGAAAGGTTATGTTTGATTTTATAGTTGTTAGATTGTAAAATTAATTTCAATTTTATTGAAAATGTTAAGTATAATAAACTAGGAAATTGAGTAAAATGAAAGAAAAATTAGTTTTACTAATTAAAGAGACTTTAGAAATCGCCTAAACGTAAAATAATTAAGTTAAATTAGTTTTACTAATTAAAGAGACTTTAGAAATCGCCTAAACGTAAAATAATTAAGTTTTGATATCGCCTATTTAATTATTGAAATTACTTAAAATAGTTATTTGTTGATTTAATAATTATATTATATTTCAGGTGGCGATACGAACATTGGGACAGTTTACCGATCGAGTTGATTTTGGCATATATAGTTTTATGAGTGAAAAAATATAAATATTTTTAAAGTATTTATAAATTAAGTACATCAGTAAAGTATGTGCAATTATATATTTGATTTTATGATTATTACAGAAATATCTTTTATTATGATACATGTGAGATTTCAAAGATTGTATATGGTACATTGTGAATTGAAATATGAGATATAATATTGAGATCGATCAGAAAAGTACCCATGATTATATACTTCTTCTAGTTCACGGAGGGGCTTTGGCCGTGTTCTATCCTATACGGAGGGTCTTGAGCTGACATTGTTTTTGATTGTATACATATAGTTCATAGAGGGACCTTGACCATATGCTAGAATTGATTATGAAAAGTCTTTGAGATAGGCTTTCATTTAAAGAGGGGGCCTCGTGGCGAAAGTTCTTAGCTCGATGGACGTATTATATATTTTAGTCAAAGGGTAAATTTTTGGTGGATTTTTCAGCATGTTTGATGTGATGAGAATATAACGTGGTTATCAACTGATGTTCATATCATGATTTTAATATGATATTTTATGACCTTATATGAATATTTCACTATTTTACTATAAGAACATGATGGTAGCTTGTGAATTATCAAATGATATGAATTTGATTTTCAATAAAAATGTATAAATGAAAAAGTATATTTGTTTTGAACTTCTCTACACACTGATCTATCAATTCATATATTTTTCACGTTTTTCCTTATCAGGTAGCAGTTGAGAATCTGAGTATCTTTTGGAGTCAAGAGCTACACGACAGAGCTTGTTAGTATAACTCACTTCATAGATTATGTAGTCAGTGTTTTGGAACGCATGTTCATGTCTAGGTGTGATTTTGCATCACTTTTAGATAATTATGGGGCTCACTATATATTTTGTATCCATATGTACATTTCATTTTATTTCTTGGTAAAGGTCGGGGTTTCAACTTATCTTTATTGTGTTGTGTTATAATTTGGGATTTGTGTGAAATTGATCACAAGTTAGTTAGTCTTGTTTACAGGGGATATAATGTCGAAATTCTGTTAGAAAAATGATGTATAAAAAGTGATATATTGTACTCGTAGCAGCCTTGATGGTGGGTCCGACTTTTAGTTGGTATTTATCATCGGCGCATGCCACGTCTAGATCTAATAGTATTACACGGGGTAGGGTATGTCAGTTTTGTGATAATATCATGCAATTTGGGAGATTATGAGATTGAAATTTCAATCAAATTTCATTTACATGGTTTTAAGAGTATTGTTGTCAAGGTATTGTTCCGTGACGTAGTTTCTCACTTGGGAGTCGGAAAGAAAATTAATATTGGTCTATTCGATTGTGATTATGAGAATTGATTTTTTGAACGTTAGAGAGAAAAATTGGTTCTACCTGTGAGCGATGAAGTGAAAAATGACAATGAAATAATGAAATAACGATAAAAATATTGATTTTTTGATGTGAAAAATTAAACAGGGGCTATACATGTTTGGATTTGAAAAGTTACGAAAATCTATATTTTTCAAAGTTTTACCAAATATGCTTCCTAATATAGGTAATATAAGTTTTTAGGGTCGGAAGGCTGCTCGAATTGAGCTAGAGACAGTGGCTTGAGATCCTTTTTTTTTTCTTTGATATTCACAGTAATAAGTTCAAGAAATGGGTAGATGTATCAATATTTAGCCATGTTCACTTTGAATGAAAAGGTTGAATAAAGTTTTCAAAATAAAAAATCAACAATTATATTTAAGTACACATTTAACGAGATTGATAATTTTTCGACCGCATGCTCCATCAATTTTTATTGAAATTTACTAAGAGTTTGGTTTTTATTTAAAATCAAGCAAGGGCTTAATAATGCATACCAACTATAAATTAAGTTTATTTTTTAATCAACTTTTAAATTTATCAAATACGTGATTGAAAATGAGTTTAGAGCATTTTGAATGGACGCAACAAATCACCAAAATACACCAAATTTTGGTGCAAAACCTATCAAATGTGGCATTTAATTTTCTACTATTTTGATGCAAAATGGTGCAAAGTGAATAGTATTGCAAAAATATGTTGCAAAGTCAAATTTACCATTTTCTTCTATTTGCCAAACTAATTGATAGATGGCATTTGTATAAATTGTGTTGTTCATTTTCAATAAAATAATTTTTTATTATTATAATTTTATTATGATTAATAATAATAAAATAAATTTTAACAATATAAAAAATAAAAATTTATATTTATTAATGAATTTAATATTTTCGTTAATTTAACGTAATTATTTATTTAATAATTCATGTATTTGTAAAATAGATAAAGAAATAAATTATCAAATAAATAAATTATTGAATAAAAAAAGAGAAGAACTCTTTCTTTAGATTACCAGAAATATCTTGACAAAAACCAAATTGCTTGCTGACCCTAGGTCTCACCCTTGCCCAAGACCTAACAGCAGGAGCTTGGCCCGCGAGGATAGATGCATCGAGAACTCTTTTTCAGTCTGAACCGATAGGTCGAAGATAGGAGAGTTGTTCACAAGCAATGGTTATGAGCTCTTTTCGGTTTCGGTTCAGAAGAGGTAATTCCTCCACTGGCCGAACTAGTCATTAGATATGAAGTTGGTAGGAAGACCTTTTCATAGAAAATGATTAAATTATTTCGTCTGGTGTAATAGTCGGAGATGATTTTTAATTTAGTGTAAGATTTCGTGTAAAATTTACCTTAAATTTTGGTGCAAGATTGAAATTGGCCTCAAAGAATAATTAATTTTAAAAGACATGGACAAATATTATTTAACCTTTGTGTTTGATGGCCTTTAATTTAAAATTCTTTTTTTCTACATGCTCTTTTGCAATCGTACAAATAAATATTCTACACTTTATTTTTTACTTTTTAATCACATATTCCTAAAAAATTTACCATTTAAAATATATATTTATTTATGTATATATATATATTTTTTTCAAACAATGACCACGAAAGAGAGGCTGCAAATGCTTCTCGATATTTGAAAGTCGCTTTCAAAAGATAGACGTTGGAAAGAGAAATTGCATGAGCAGTATATTTATGCACCTGAACTCGGTGAAAGTCGTGTGTATGTATTAAACGCATAGAAGGGTGGTGTGGGCATTATAAAGGCGGGAAAATAGAGAACCGTCTTCTTCTTCCTCTCCCCCCTCTCTCTCTCCAGAAGGCTTGAGCACGCTGAGATATTGAGAAAATGGAGAGAATACACGTATCTGTCAGAGCGAGGCCACTCTCTTCGGAGGACGCAAAGACAAGTCCATGGCGCATTTCTGGAAATTCCATTTTCATCCCTAATCAGCCATCCAAATTCGATTTTGGTATTATTTTCTCTCTTTCTTCCTTTACACCGATATTATAATATTGCGTACTTGACTTACCCACCACTATAGCTTCTGCTTCAGTGGTCGTACTTATACCTATGTTTTCATGGGACTCAGTGCGTACAAGCTTTTTTAGTTTCAATTCGCTTTTAGCTTAGGCGGTGCAACTTTTGATATAAATTTAAGATTTAGATTCGCTGTTTTTAAGTATTTTGCTTGTTAATTAGATCTGATTTTTGAGGAGGAATGTAGAACAGCGGATGTATACAAATCTCGAAGCTGCTGCAGTTCGTGGCTTTAATGGTACGAGATAAGTTTTGTTAAGCTGACTTATGTGCTGCACGGTAATTATAATCTGGGCATTTTGATTTTTTTTTATTTGGATAATTACATAATAAACATTAATAGGATTTCAGCCTTTAGAAGGATAACTAAATGGCTGATAAAGTTCCAATACTTTAAACTGCCACAGAAAGGGCGACCAAAAGAAGGAAATGGATGAATCTGGATCTAAACCTTACAGGAGGAACTTCACATTTTTATTTTTTGCTATTTTGCAATGATTATAGATTTTAGATATACATCAATGACATCTAGTTTCAAACACCATCTCAAATAGGTCTGAGCGTGAACTTTTGAACTATTATTCTTCACAGGTCTTAGCTCTTAGCTCAATAAAAATTTGAGCAAGAGCATGATTTTTTGTGTTATTCGAGCATTACCATTTTACATTGTTGCCTGCTGCACATAAGCCACATTGCCTTTTCATATAGATCACATCAAAATAGGATTAACTAGTCAAGTACTTTTGTGAACCTCGGTATATAATGTAACCAATTTGTGCAGGTTACTTGACCTGAGCAAAATCTTGGCTTATATTAACTCATAGTTATTGGATTCTAGGCCTGATCAAGTTAATTACTTTAATCTAAAAGCTTGTGATAAAATGCACGATTAACATAATATAGTTTATTAACTAACAATGATTTACCATAATTTAGCAACATTATTTAATCATAATATTGTCACCAATAGATGCTTTAATAAAATTATTCGTTTGACATCATTTATACTTTTGTTAAAGTCAAATGATCATATTAGTTTGTCTATACAATCAAAGCAAAACAAGGCTCATATTTCCAATGGCTTGCTTATTGCAATGTTTTTCCTTCTCTTGAACTTTCTCCTTCACTCTACATATCACGACCATAGACATACATAATCTTGTGTACTCATCTATCCCACCACTTGGTCTCTTTAGGGACTATTTTTGCATATGGACAAACAAGTAGCGGCAAAACGCACACAATGCGAGGTTCAGCATCAGAGCCCGGAGTTATTCCACTTGCTGTGTATGATCTCTTTAACATTATACACGAGGTACTTATTTCATTAACCCCTTTACCTTTGGCAATTGTCTTTATAACATATTGACTACATAAATTTTCTATTCATTTGACAAAACTAGCTTATTAGGTCCAATCTCCTAAAGCTTTCATTATTGCTAAAGCAACGGGACAGTTACAAGCATGAAATCTAGATTATAAGAGGCCATTGTGTTGGGAAATCAAGTTCATTTACTAATTCATGTAGTAAGCCACATGACTTTGGGACTTAACATCACAATCAATGTGGAGTACGAGGCAAGTTGCATACATAAGGATGGGGATGCACTTGTATATTCTAATCCTATGAATGTCTTTTGGTAACCGTAGGTTGTCTGGCGTTATATCGGTCAACCAGTAAACTTTGATCTTATTGCAACATATGAACCAGTTGTTTTATTTAGACTTGTTATTGGATTTAACTGATACTCTTTGATTGAAATTTCTCACTTTTAGGAAATGGATCGAGAGTTTCTTTTTCGCATGTCTTATATGGAGATCTACAATGAGGAGATAAAGGATTTGTTGGCTCCTGAGCGTCGGAAATTGCAAATTCATGAAAGTATTGATGTATTAGTTTGCTTTTTCCACCTATGTGACTACTTTCATTGTGCAGATAAGTATTAATCGTCAGTGCCTCATATTCTTTTTGTTTTTCTAAAGCATGAAGCGAGGAATTTTTGTTGCCGGTTTGAGAGAAGAAATTGTGGCTTCTCCTGATCAAGTTCTTGAACTCATGGAATTTGGGGAATGCAAGTTCTCCTTTTATTTATCTAAATGTACTGACAGTTGTTACTTTTTAAAGTTCCTATTTTCAAAGGAATGCTCAGAATCTAATTGTATTTATTATTATCCGTAATGAACCAAGTTCTTTTTGATTCTCTTTCATCTGTAAATTTGAAAAGGGGAAACTCAAATGAAACCCACCCAGATCCTCATCTTAGTCTTACATAGTCAAATATTCAAGTGGTGGATAACAATTTTAACTCTTTTGCTCTTTGTTATTGATTTTACAGCTCATCGTCATATTGGGGAGACATATGAATGTATAGAGCAGTAGGTCGCACACGATATTCCACATGGTACGTTTATAATTCTTATACAATTCATGAATCTGTCAATTCTGCTAATGAAAATTTGTAAATATAGGTTATTGAGAGCAGGGAGAAAGCTGATGATGCAGAAGCAGACTTGTCATGTGATGCAGTTCATAGTCCTCTCTTTGTTTCTTCATCTATGTAAAAATTCATCTCCTAAATTATTAGATTTAATCGCTTTTTCAAGGGAATAAATAATCATGTTTTTGGCTTTGCTGTTATCTTAGACTTGGTAATCTAAAGTCTCTTCTAAGGTAAAAAGCTTATTTACGGACATTGAAAATCAATAATAATAATTTAGTACAGGAACTTCTCTCATAGGGGATTTCTATTGTGGCTATCAAAAAACACCAACATCTTTTATTTCATTCTCCCCTCTTCTAGGAGGTATAGCTGATAGCATTTGCGAAATCCTGAGTTGTTCAGCTTATCTATGTTTCTGATGAATTTATCTGACCCTTTTTGTTGGGGTTTAAAATGGTGAAGAGGCTGAAATGTTATGGCCTTGTATCTCTAAATGGTTTGGGAGGAATGCTAGGATTTCTTAGATTATAATTATAATCTCGTTGCTTATAGGATAAAGTTGTGTTTTGTCATCTTCGAGGACCAAAGCTGTGGGACTGTTTGCGGTTTAAAATTCTAAGAAGTGCAATGTGGTTTGAAGGAATTTTTTATTTTTTGCCTTGGGATGCAATGGCGTTTATGTCATTTTTATGTGTAAATGTTATGTGATTATATGTTGTTTTAGCTTCAGTGCACATGCAGCTTTTTGAGCGATTTATTTGTGTAGTTATTTCTTCTTTCTTTTCTTTCTCCTTGTCCTACAGTTTTTAATTTTTCTCTCCATCTATATTCTCGTCTTTTAAATAAGGAAAAGTTTTCTGATCTTTTTGTCCCCTTGTCGTTGTTCCCATCAACCCATGCAGAACTTGGTGGATCTTGCTGGTTCAGAGCGTGCTGCAAAGACTAATGAATGAGGGCTCCTATATCAACAAAAGCCTAATGACACTAGGAACTGTTATAAAGAAACTAAGTGAAGGCGCTGAAGGCCAAGGGTGGGTTTGAATTGTTTCTGAAATCAGTTCTTTGAACATATTAATGTTCTTAAGCATCATGTGAATACTGCAGGGGTCATTCCTGTATTGAGACAGCAAACTCATGCGTACTTTGCAACCTGCATTGGGCGGGAATGCAAATACTGCTATCATATGCAATATTACACTGGCAAAGGTGAATTTCACGAGCATGGGTGCAAATTTGCACCTCTTGAATTTATTTATTGTTTTACGTGTAATTGTTATTTATTTATTTGTTTTTTCTTGTCTCTTCCCTGCCTCAATTTATGAACAAGCAGTGAAAGGATGAATATCTACAGCTGATCAGGGCTTTTTGCTCTGCAGATACATGCTGATGGGACTAAAAGCCGTCTTCAATTTGCAAGCAGAGCATTGCGAGTGATTGTGCTCATGTAAATGAGGTAATTCCCATTTCCCTCGACTGATATTCTCCATGAAGTTGAAATTTCGTGGTTATGATTTCAATTCTTCAGAAATTGATTATCACGTGACTAATTATCTTCCATTATTGTAACGGCAGAAATTGATTAACTGATGCTGCTTTGCTAAAGCGTCAGAAAAAGGAGATTGAGGAACTGCATGCTAAATTACAGGTTGTTATAGGTTTTCAAGTGAACTCATGCCCATGAGACTAGGAGCAGCTCTATTAGAGTACCAAGATAACTTGACCGTTTGCCCTTGTTTGTATTTTGAGGGTTTACACTCCGAACATCTAGAAGAGGAAATCCTGAATCTGTGGAATACATTGCTAAAGGTTTGCAATGAAGATCTCTTATGTTACTGTATTAAGGTATGTGTTAAAGTTAACGGGTCTTAATTATTGTCAGAGTGAGTTTGAAAGAGAGAAAATGGCCTTAGAGCTGGAAGAGGAAAAGAAAGCTCAGGCTGAAAGGGAGAAGAGGTTGCAAGAACAGGCCAAGAAAATAGAGAACTTGAGTTAAATGGTATTCTGCAGTAATCGGGATGAGATCCATGAAGTCAACAAGAATGTATGATATTTTATGCATTCTTCATGACGTGTGCATTTCTGAACACAAGTTGAAGTACTTTAAGTTGTAAGTCTGTGTCTTTAGAACCCTGTTTCTGCTGACGCTGTATACTCGCTAAATCTATCTTCAACTGCTGAATAATGCAACTAGAAGTTCAGCATTTTGTAAAAGGTGGAAGCAATAAGAAAATGAATTTAATGATGTGCTGATTTTCTTTATATTTTTTCAATTTATAATTTTCTATGACAAAAAGCTAGCTGCAATCGATCCTGATGTTATATATGTTTATGTAGTCTGTCCTACCATGTCGACATAGATCCAATTACTTCATAATTTTAAGCAGGATCTCTGATATGTATCTTCATTCTTTACCACTTTAATGTAAATGCTTACAATCTAAGAATAGATGTTGGTACCAGTTTTGGTTACAAGTTAGAGCCCGTGCATCACTCAAACATCTTTGTTCTTTGTGATTTGTTTCACATTAGTGTCTGGCATTCTAACTATATTTTTGTTAATGCAAGTAGTTATTTCAACATAGAGATGTAAGCCTAACATCTATGTTTAAATAGTTGAAGCATTATATTGGTTGTGCCTTTCCTGATGATGCTTTTTCAACTTTAGTATGTTCTTCGAGGCTTTCGAGTTTTGATTTTTGTCATCTAGAAGTTATTATACTTTTAGCCCTTGTTTGAGCCCCATTTTGATGGAAATAATGTATTTTTAAATTGTGATTGATGGAGAATGCGTGGTTAAAAATTAAGGAAAAATTATGAATTTGAGTGTAATATTATTTTATTGAAGAATGTGTGGTTGAAAATGAGTTTTGAAAAAAATGAATTTTTAGAAGAATTGGCTCAAATAGGGGCATAATGAATTAGTGTAGAGCTAAAAGAATTGCATCTGCACTTTTCTTTCTTCAGCTACTAGTGTTAATGTGTAGTTTGTTCTTCCAATACTCTTTATTGTACGATTTGACATTCCACACAATAATTTTACGTGGTTACCTATTTTTCTCCCTCTTTGTGGTTCTTTCATTTTAATTTTCCTATTGTAGGGAAAAAGGCGTGATACGTGGTGCCCCGGAAGTCTTGCTAATGAGACTTTAAAGGAGGTAAAAAAGTTATGTTTCCAGTGCTAGAAATGCTACCTTTTCAATGATTTTTGATTATAAGCTGGTGCATAGAAACCAAACTAAAGGAGCACTTTGGATTCGAAACTTCTTATATTTTTACTTTTTCTTTTTTTAGCGATTGGGTCTCGCAGTTCTTATAACTTTCAGGCAGGTTGTATGTTTCCTTTATGAGAATCACAAATGGATTATTTTTGAATACGTGTAGTGTACTTGGTGCATTCATTTTTCTGAACATCCTAATTACTGCTTTAGTGATCATGACCATTGAGTAACATACTTGGTGCTTTAGTTGCACTCTACAGTCAAAGGAATGCCTTCCATCGTGAAGTCAACGAGAGCATATTGCAGAGCTGGGCCTCTTCTTCCTTTTGAAGAGTTAGTTAATGAAGTAAGCATGGTTGACTCTAGCAAGCAGGAAGCAGATTGTGAGAAAAATGTGTCGGAAGATTGCACTCTTCCTGATCCATGGGCTTTGCTGCATGTTACCAGCAGGAGAAAGGCTCCACCCAGAAAGAGAAGTTTACAAATGGTTCATATCGTATTTCTACCTCTTTTATCTCTACATTTTTGATATATTTTGAGACTAACTAATTGTTTCTCTCGCAGGAGAATAATGAATTGGCAGATTTGCAAGCAGAATATGAAAATTTGCTGTTAAAAGTTTGAAACTCACGTTAGTTTTTCCTACTTCTATGTTTCAATGACCGTTGCATTACAGATTCATATTATTAACTTTTTTCTTTATAGAGAACAATGAGCAATATTAAGATTGACTACTTAACGAGGAAGCTTGCCGAGGCTGAACTCTATGTGGATGGGAAATATAAAGACAGTACTGCACAAAGTACAATTGATATATCTCTTCCAGATGAAAATAAAAGTTTGAGGGAGTTGGATGCTATTATTGTGATCAAGCAACTTCAAGAGAAGGTTTACCTCTCTATTGCTTTACTTTCGTACGTTTTCTTAAAGCACTCTTAGATAAGAGTAAAAGTTACCTTTCTAGAAATTAAGCTTAGACGAAGATGCTCTTAGAATTTTTCCTCACTTGATTTCTTCCTTTCTATTGCATAGGCCATTGTAGATTTAAATGGAACAAACCTCCTATGATTACAATTTAATACTGAATTTGGGTATTTATGTCGACATGGTGAAGTGAACAAAGTTAGCTTGTAAAGCAAGATTTTAATGCTAACATCTTGGTAACCGAGACAAGAGAGAACATGATAAACCATGGAGCTATTTTTAGGAGACTGGAAATTAGGTGTTCAATCAGTAGAAAGGGTTACTCCAATAATCCAATTGTTGAATAAATTGCGACCTTTAATAATCCTTTGAACACAGCTTACAACTTTCATCGTATTAAGCTCTCCAAAGAGCAACTCTTCTCAAAATCTCACTCGATTTCAAAATCAATGATAATGCCATGTAGGGTTCAAGTTGTTGTTGCCCACTTTTTGATGACAGAAATGACTAAAATGAGGATGGGATACTTTCATTAAGAAAAAAAGGAAAATTCTTAAGGTCCTTTTCTAATGTGTAAGCAAGGGCAGCAACCAGAACTGGCTTGGGTCACTGCAAATGTCAGCTAAGTAGGGACTATGAGGTATCATTAGGCTTCCAGTCATGAGCTATCTGTGGTAAAATGGTGTAGGTTCCTTTTCTGGGTTGCTTGTATTAGTCTTGCAGCACTCAGAAGTCTGACTGACACTTTAAGCTTGTCCAAGACAAGTCTTGTTCAAATGTTCTAGATTTTATGACGTCTTTATGCATAGTCTGCATAAACTGACTGTTATTTTTGAATTTTATATTTGATCTTGATTTTGTCAATATTTAATCTACAGATTGATGTTTTGGAGATGGAGAAATCCTCAAGACAGCAAAATTTGGATTCAGTTGTTGAGTTAGTTACTTCGCAAATATTACCAGCCCGGGAGAAATTTGAAAAGGTATCAAGCTTTAACTTCTACTACATAAAATTATATGTATTGTAGTTGTTTTTAAGACAAGTGGTGGCTCCTATCCTATGCATTAAGAATTCTGTCAACTGGTTTGCTTAGAATGTTGCTACATGCCATAAGTACTCTTCGCATTAGTTTTATTTATTCATATTCTAAAGGCGGAAGAATATTATGTTTATATTAAGGTCTTCATTACTGGTGTTGTCCATGGAAGAAGATTTTTCTATGAATAAACTAAGACATTTTGCAAATTTAGGAAAACTCAATGACAAATACACCTGGAATAAAAATTAATTGCTGTGTCTTTATTGTCGTAACAATGAGAAGAATGTTAATTTTGATTGAATAGCCAATTTGATTCACATCCGAGGTCAATTTTAGGATTTCCAGTGGACCTAGTTCCTCACAAGAATAATTTTAGAGTTCCTCTGTTGAGACATAAGTTGAGGTATTTCCTCAGCTGAACATTATCAAAAAACTGGAGAACTACAATGTCCAATTCTATAGAGGTTATGAACGTCCATGCACTTGTAGTACCAAAAAAAAAAAAAAAAAAAAAAAAAAAAAAAAG